ATAATTCTTCCAAATCCAGATTTTTTTCAGATCTTTGAAATATAATTTGCCAAACCGTCTTATATATATTTATGCTTATTCATTTTCATTTTTAATTATGAGTATATATAAGAGATAAGATAGAACTGGATATTCTTCTCAGCCTAGTGTTATCGTGAGACTTTTATAAGAATGAGTTTCACCTCTGATGATGTCCATCATATGATGAACGAAAGCTCAGCCCGTTTTCGCCTCAAGCGAGGAAGAATGTCCCGTAGACTGTTTCAACCTGTGCGTCTTACTAAAGTCAAACGGCTGCAGTATAACGTCCTTATGCAGTCACCTTCTGGCGAGATCGACCTACGATTCTCTTCTTCATGCACTTTCATATGAAAGTAAGGTCTCCTCAACATCATACTTAGGTCATGCCTGACCCCCCCACCCTAAACTTACATGGTGATTGCAATTTCACTTGTACATAAAAAAAGGACTACTTCAAGATGCTATAGCATCCGAGCAGTCGAGTAAACATTATTAATTAGTTTAATCTATTTTTGGGCAGGAGCATTAAGAGATCCTCTACCAATCCTCTCCTTTCCTCTTTTCTTTCAATTAGATATTCCATTTTTTTCATTAGTTTCAGGGATTTTTATAGCTTACCATCTTTACCATGGATTTACTAACCTGTCGCTTTCTTTTTTCTAATTTATTTGCTTGGCAGGTAAGTGTTTGGGGCGAATTCGGTCGTATGGACAAGAAGGTCTTCATGGGTATGTGTGAAGTTGTGCTGGATGATCTCGATCTTGCTTCCATCGTTTTCGGTTGGTATAAACTTTTCGGCATGATCGCTTCAAGTAGCCACCATCATCATCACCACCACCAAACCCACCCACAATGCAAACAGCAGCTCCAGCCCTCTTTGCAATCACGAAATGGAGTCTCGGAGTCTGGACTCGTCCTCATTTCCGACCGGGACGATGAGGAGCATTCAGAAGGAGGCCAAACTTCACGTCACGGCCACAAGCGCTCTAGTTCGAGTCGCGCTATGCGAAAACAGCCAGGCTCCGAGTCGGGCGCTGGCAGTTCAGCCAGTGGCCTAACCTCAAAGAGGGATATAGGACATTGCGGGAGACCAAATGCATCCGCGGCACAGAAGGGTCGCTCTGGCGTCTCTTCGGCTAAGACCAAATAGGTATTGCATATCAATCTAAGCAGTAGACTGCATTCCCGCTTCACCCTTTGCCTCATTCAATTTCCTATCTCCTTTGGGGCCTAAAATGTCCTCTATCATGCGCCTCGCCATCAGACACAAATCGCTCCCTCAGACAATCATCAGCTCCCCCTGACTCATGTTGCCAAGCCATTTTCCAACCTTCTGCTCCAACCCCCAAGGAAGATTAGCCCTATTCTGTTATGTATATCCACGGGGTATCCCTTCACCTTGCCCCTTTCGAGCACTAGAGTCCCTCCTTTCGCTCGTAAGGCCAGATATTTACTGGTGAGTGGACCTATTTTTTTACTTCCTTCCTCGATAAAACCTGGTGTATTCAGTCTACATCTGATGTGATTCAGGTTATCCAGCTGCCCGTTTACTTAAGACACTGGATTTATACAAACAAAAGAAGAGATACTTTAGATCTCATGCGCCAAAAGGCCTGTCTACCCTCGTCCTCCAACATGTCTGAGCACTGCAGAGATAAGCACACTCCAGTTGATTGTTTACCTGGAACAGGCTGTGGTCACAGCACCTGAACTGGATGAATACAACCAGTCGTCTATGTACACAGAATTATCACTTCATCTTTCATCTCTTGGTAATGGGACCATGTCTATACTTCAGATCTTCGCAGGATCTCCCGTCTTCGGATACTTCGATGACAATTAGCCTCCCTTGAGTATTGAATTTATATTCCCTGCACCTCTTACTGATCGCCTTCATGTGTCACTTCAGTACATATATGCATATATACACATATATTACACATGGTGGAGGGGACTTTCCGCCTATCCATCAAACATGGTGAGTGCTAGTCTACTCCAACTCTGCTTTCCTAACAGCCTACCAACCCCTACTCCGCTTCTATGGCACCCAGGACCAGTCTTTCTCGTTTAGATACTCTGTTTTGCATTTACATAATACTGAAATGATACTTCACTTGAGCTGTTTATCCTTGACTTGTTTAAGAGTTCTTCCTATTCAACTTAATTGATGTTGCAATCAAGAAAGCATTTTGTATTCCCGAGTTGAGGTGACACTGTCCAGTGGCACTGCTCTCTCTCCAAACGGCCAGGAGCCAAGTATACCTGTCCCCAAATGTGGTAGAACGCTGAAGCGCTGGCTCGCTAGGCTAATTAATTTCTTAGTTGGTTTTCCTACAGTTAATCTTTTCACTCTACATTTTTGCTTGATTTGCCCACATTTATTCTTCCACATCTTCTATTCAAAATAGTCCTGATCTCTGTAGGCCCTATAGAAATGAAAAATGTCCCTCTTTTGTCCACTTTCCTCCCTCTTTTTTTTAGCATTATCTCTCTTTTTACAAGACATCGGATAGCTCTTTCTCACAGTATACGCACACCAGCACTGGTGGTGACTAGTTAGCACCACCATCTGTACATTTTTCACACTCACTAACACAGTCTGTGTGAAAAAGGCCTAGTCCAGTTTGAAATACGCATCTGTCTTAATGTACACAACCGCACGTCGAGAGATAAAACAGACTTGCCCTTTAGGCCCGCACCACAGTGTCCATACAGCTACCCACTTTCATCTACACCTTCGAACTTTAATGCGGCGGCACTGACAAATGTCTTCCTGTTATGTACACCAACCGACTTAGCCTCTCTTTCTTCAGAGCGTACTATAGTGCCGCTTGCTAAATCCTCGCGAACGCTTGGTGGTCGACCAATCAGTTCAGGGGGGCTTAGCATCATGGGTTTTTCGCCGTCCGTTTAGCAGACATCATTTCCTCTTGAGGAACTTAGTTGGACGCGCATAGTCTTCTGTCCTGTCAAACGGTTCTCCTATCCAAAGTGTGCTGGAATGACGGATCAGCACTTTGTGAAATAGATGTGCATGCGTCACCATTCCCTTCCGTTAGTATGCGCGCGGCATTAACAGTAAACTGGTGTTGATCATCCAAACCTACTAAAACGACTTGGTTTATTCACCTTGAGAAAAATACATTTTAGCAGTTGCTCACGAAAGTAAATTAGTAATATTCCTCGGCATTTTCCTCGTGATCTAGGCCCCATTCGAGTATTTCCCACCCAAATACAAGCGATGCTTTCCTATCCCTATCACTTCGTAGCCCTTTACTATACTATACCATGTGTTTGTGAAATTTAGCGCCCACATTTGTCAGCATTCTTCCATATTCAGACAAACAACGAAAATACAATGCAAGTACTCATCCCATTCTACCATTCACTACTACTAAGGCCTGATTAAGCTGGATTGGTTGACTGATTTCTCTTTGGCTCTTGCCGCCCTGTCATCATTTTGGCCTGTTTCCCAAACTTACTTGGTTACTAGAGGCTATATCAGGTGGCTTCATTAGTTGCCAACATGCATTGTCATCTATCGAACTTTGCAATCACTGTACTATCATAG